TCGCCTCTGTCGGCCAAAAGGAGCTGGCGAGGCGGAGATCCTAGGTGCACATGAACGAAAATGAAACTCAAATCATGGACGCCGCGTCGCCGTTACGCTCTAGTGTCAAAGGCCTGGAACCTCCGGGCCACACAGCACTCCTGCTGACTCGGGGATGACCCCCCAAATGACAAACTGCACAGCAGAAGAGTCACTGACACTCAGGTTTCTTCCCGCTGGTGGCGCGCTCTCCGGTCGCCTCGGTAGTCTACACGTGACGTAGTCTACAAAAAGGGGCATCTACGGAGGCCGCCTGCTCTTATGGGGCGCAACCGTCCGGCGATCACTAGGCTGGACGGCTGCTCAGCAGCTCAGTGTCGCGCTTGCCAGGAAGCTGGGGCTTTGCTCCAGCAAGGTCCACACACCGGACGGGCAAACGTACTTGCTTCCATGAAGCTGCTGCAGAAGTGGGCGTCTTTGAGCCGTTGCTGAACTCGAGCTTCGCCTTGCTTGAAGTGGCACAGAGCGATGCGGCCCTCCGTGCACAGGTGGATGTTGGAACGTTCAGAAGCAAGATATCCAGCAGGCTTTGGGTGTACGGGTGGCAACGACAGAGTGCGCCTCGTCGTATAAAGCCACTGTGCCGCCGTGCGATCCCTGCAGAGCTTGTGGAACTCCACACAAGGCCGCATCTTGGTGATCTTCTCGGCTGCTTCATCCACGGAGGTGCCCATCATGAGCGCATAGATGAGGGCTGTGCAGGCAGGAGCCCGATGCTTGCCCGCCATACAATGCACAAGCACTGAATCACCACAATGAAGGCTCTGGTGGATGAGAGGCCATGCTGCTTTGAACTCCTGATCCATGCGCTTGCTGCCCATCTGCACCTTCATGACGCATGCCTCCGGCAACGACACGCCCCCCCCGACCCTCGGGGTATTGTGGTAGACAAGCGATCTGGAGGTGGGCCTTCGGGAAATGTTGCACTGTCTCAGCGATCGGAATACCGGAGAGCCACAGCTGGCCACCTGACCGAGTCGTCATGATCAGGGTTGGGGCGAGAGTGTCACGCCCTTCTGAGGTGGCCAACCGGTCCCAGTGAGATTGCTGAGGTCCTGGCGACACTGCTGGAATAGGCAGGGTGCTCGGTGCTGGGTCTGAAGACTGTCGCCAAGGAGGCGTTCTGGCCAGCGGTGGAGGCGATGGATCCCGCGGACCTCGCGGCTTCTTCTTGGCCGACGTTGCAATCAACTTGGGCGGAACCGCCTTGGATGGAGGTGCCTTCGGAGGCGTCTTGGGCCTTGGAGAGAGGGCCTCTGCTGCGTCGGGCCGAGCACTTGCGATTCCGCTCGCCGGCGTTTGGCTCTCGAGGAGGGTTTGGCCTTTGAGGACGTAGTAGAAGAAGCTGATGCCGCCGCCGCACGAACTGGAACTGGCGTCTCGGCCGGCAAGTACTTCTTTTCGGTGCAAATAAATGCACCGTGGCTCCCGCCACAAGCCCGCCCCCGGGCCAAAAGAACAGCGCAGAGGTGAGCGTTCCCGCAACCCTCCTCTCCTTCTGCGCACCCCTCGGGCATCTGGAAAGCCCCGCAAAGGCGACGCCCATTCTTCAAGAAAGCCGTCAGCACGCGGCCTCGGATGGCATCCGGCATGGATACCGTCTGGCGCGAGGTGCTTCCTCGGATTTTGTTTGCCGCTGCCTTAGCGACTCGGGCCCTGGAGAATTGGAGGTGCGTCTTCAGCGACTCCTTGGTTGGCTGAGCCGCGTACCTCGTCTCCTTGTCCTTCGCGATGGCCATGGCAAGCGCGTCTTTGGCCACTTCGCGGAAACCATCCAAATCGGCAGGAAGCACCTCCTCCCAAAAGCTGTGGCCCTCACAGCTATGGGCCACTGAAGTGGCCAGGATCTTGTTGCGAAGGGACTGGGCATACCGGCCAGGATCTTGTTGCGAAGGGACTGGGCATACCGAGCTGACGAATAGTGCAATGCCATCCCTGCTTCAGCCGGCTCTTTGGATTTGTCCTGCCAATCGCCGAGGGAGCAAAGATCAGACGACGACAAATTCAGAATATGGCCCACTGTGGGAAGCATTCGTCGCCAAGAGTAGGTGGTCAACTGCTCTGTATTGTCCAGGAACTCGGCAAAGATCGACTGGCATAGGTGCTGAACCTCAGCGATGTTCCAAGGCGTCCCACGCCCGTCAAAGCAGATCCCTGCACTCTTCTGGGCCACCGGAGAGAGGGCCTTCCAGGCGTTGAGCCACTCCACAGTCCAGTTGAAGGTGGAGGCAAACTCGGCTGGAGCACACCAATCAAAGCCGCCACGAGCATGACGCTGCTTGCCTTTGCGACAGTGGCCGTGGAACACGAGTGGGCTGATGCGACGAACGGTTGAGCGGCGAAGATGCTGGTATCGCAAGCAACCTGTAGCCACCAGCCAAGAGCCGAGAAGACATGTCCAACGCGGGTCCCCCCCCACGGCACATGCTCTCAATGCGCTCTTCCAACAGCTGCAGCATGCCCGGCTCCACAACAAGGGCTTGGCTCTTCGTAGAAGTGGCCTTCTTCTTCAGCTCCGGAGAGATACGAAGCCGGGCCACTTCCCAAGGAGCTCCAGAATGCTTGCACAGCCAACGAAGCGCATTGAGCGCGCGGGTAGGGGCCATCGTCCCCTGATGCAGGAAGTTGTCCATGTCCACAAAGTCCGGAGGGAACGACCTCCCGCGGTGGAGCAAAAAGGCGTGGAGCTCCCCATAGGTGCGGAGAGCATTCTGAATCGTCACCGACTCAGACTCCGCCACTTTGGTCTGGGCCAAGCGAAGGACGGAGGCCTGCCAATCCCGCTTCAGGGCCTCAGTCAATAGGCCAACCGGCTTCAACGCCCCCACGGTCAGGAACACCTTCTGCAGGGCCAACACTTGGCGCTGTATGGACTCGGGCTGATCCTGCACCCGCTCATGAAGGCGTACCCCCGCCTCAAGTGGAACTTCCTTCCGCTTGCGAACCAGTGGAGGACGTGTATCCGGCAGCAGGGGACCCCCCTCAAGCAAGCGAGCCGCCGCCGGGAGCAGCTCATCCTGCTGGGCAACCCGGACTGCGAGCCAAGCGTCCGCCAAGAAATGGCCTCCCACGGCCACAGCTTCCTCCCAGGTAGAGAAGGCAAAGGCGAAGTCCTCATCTTTCTCATAGCCCCGTTCCCGGCGCCATGTGATGGCACGGGCCCCTGCCACCCTAGCAAGGCTGTCTTCGGCTCGCCAACCAGAGGACGAAGCCGGTTCGGCCGGCGGAGCGTCCACTGCTCCAGCGACTTGTGCACGGTACACCATGGCTTGCGCACCCGCTGAACTACCCACTATCGTCATCAGACGACGAAAGTTCGCGGCAGGCCGGACAGATTTGGAGCACTGGGAAACAGGCGGAACACACTCCTTTGATACAACCAAGGCACTGCCGATAAGTGGGATCACCACAGCCGCAACACGCTGGAGGAAACTCCGACTCTCCGTTGATTGAGGACCCCAACCATCCACGAAGGGCTCGATGGGCACGAATCTTCGGGTGAAGAGCTTCCAGGTGGCGCGGCAAATGCTCAAGATCTGGCAGTGGGGCACGAAAGGGGTTGGACCACAACCCATGTGGTGATCCCATGCATGATCCAGTGTCGCATATAATAGAGAACTTCAGATTGAAATGTTTGCAGGGGCAAGAGGTCAAAATCCCCAGGAACCTTCTGCTGGAACTCCCACAGGTAGGAGGGCACAAAATTTTCGGCAGAGTACGGGGTACGGTAGGGCTGCAACAAGAGGAGGTCCATGTTGGCGTCCAACCGAGCATGCCTATCCCAGGCCTGCTGAGGAGTGAACCCGGATGGCACGATCGTCCCGCGCCGGTTCCAAATCCCGACCCACGGGAAAACATAGCCCCCTCGCCCCTGATCGCACCGTGGGCAGGCACTCTTAGGACACACTGAGATCCGCATAGGGGGGAAACCATCTGGCCCGTCCCCCGGGCGTGAAGACGGAGGCATGTGCTCGAAGAGAACCACCGAGCTCCAAAGCCGCATCGCGCCTGCCCGGTCCCCCCGGGCCAAAAGGGCATCGACCTGGCGACGGAACTCGATGAACGCGGCGGACGAAAGCACCTCAGCAGCCGTGAACATGGCGACATGCACACCGACGATAGGCTGTGAAGTCATCCACAGCACACACCGCAAAAATTAGCAGAACAGAAACTCCACTGTCCCACTTTTGGCTTGAGCCAAAATGGACAGTGTAACAAATGTAATGAAGACTGTGCACCCAAACCTGCCCAAAGCTCGACACAGTTTTACGTATACAGTATCCATACGGGGATTCTACGGCTTTGTTTAAGACCCCAACACAGTCGTGACCACACATGTCCATAGGGACAGAATCCACACCAGCATCCACACCATGTCCGTAACACCAAAGGACGGCCACGGACCTGTTCTGAGAGGAGTACCATGGCGGGACCTGTTCCCCAAACGGGACCGGTGACGGCCACCGGAGCGCAGAGACGAACCACTGAGGACGGAACCATCCGAACGAACGAGAACCATAGAGGGGTCGATGCCAGGTACCAAAAAAGAAATACCACAGTCGTTCACAACGGCATCCCCTCTATTCATCAAGCAACCCATATAATAACAAGGATGAGACCAAGGCCATCTATGCTTGAGACCTTGGACCCATGAAACGCGCCCGCCCACGACCTCTAGTCAGTTTTCCCGAACTTTGGAGTCGCTCAACTTGTGACCTTGGACGGCCCAAGATGCCCAGGTAAGTGGCCTGATCGGATGAAAGTGGCTTCATCAGATGATCTCAAGTTAGGCCACTTTGAAGGTCCAAGACTAGCAGAACGTTGGCATCTCCATCTAAAGGGTGTTATTCATCAACCCCATATCAACCCCATTGTGGGCTTCCATTCGACACCCAGGTCGCATGCAGAAGATCAAGCACCCTTCCCGGATGGTCCGGTCGCCGGTTGGTTGGGCACCCCACACATCCTCCAAGGCAAAGGGCAATGGCCTGTTGGTCGCTCCAAGCACCGTGACGTCCGAAAGATCATGGGGACAACCATTTCTGATAAGGTCAGAACCGTTTCTGTGTTCAAAGCGCAGTTTTGTCATGTTCTTTAGCAAGGGCTGGGTGTTTGGGCACGAGAGTGTTGAGATGTGTTGAGTGCTCAGTGGTTCACTTCCCGAATCAAGCAACCTGGAAATGTTGAGGCACGTTTGGAAGATTCCTTGGAAAGTGGATTCTTTCGTCCAAGATCAGCCCTCCAATGCTTGAGTGGACTGATTGAACCGAAGGCGATATATCGGTGGACATCGCAAGGCTGTTGAACGCCGATATGGGTTTGTATTTAAAAAGGGGGACCTCCCAGGCCCAATGGGTTTAGTATCTTTTTGATATTCTTGGAGGTCATTCCTTTGGAAGGTCTCCCTATTATACAAAACACACACACCCATATACACTTACACGGAATCTGTAGTCTCCGGGTTTGCTCATGGAAAATTCATCAACCCCCCCAGCTCGCTCGCGAAAGTATGGAGGGATGTTCATTGAGGCCACAAACCACCCACCAAAAGTTCCTCATGGCTTCACTGAATTTGACCGCACCAACTTTGCAAAGCAAAAAACAAACCAACCATAAAACTGGTACACTGGGGGGAAAGTAGCAGGCACTACTGTTTAAATAACGGGGGGATCTGTGCTCAAAATTAGCAATTGCAGAGGGGGTAGATGGCACAACGATTGAGGGTAGTGATTTGGCCCCATCCCGGTCAGGAAAAAAATAGATGGCAGGAAGATGAGCTGTGGAAGCGTCTGTAAGGTTGGTCAGCATCTTCTCCAACTTAGGGGCTTGTGGACTGGTCTTTGTCTGGGGATTCACTCTCACGACCATTCGGCTTGGATCTGGGGCCCCCTGCTCTTGGGATTACACCGCCAGGCCAAGAGCAGGGGGCTCCAGATCCAAGAAGGGGCCCAGATGTGACCAGGAATCCATCCCGCCTATCGATCATCAGGCCATTCAATTTTCTATCTTTATCGATAGGCGTTATTATAATCTCTGCCCTTTATTTTAACCTTGTGGTGGCAGAGATTATTCTTTTATTATCTTCTTATCTACTTCTCATGAGTCATTCTTTCATTTATAATAGAATGACGGGTAGTGCATCGGCTGGGAGATACATTTCTGCCGATGGCGCAACGTTTGGCGACCATCTACTTTCAGACCGGAGATGGAGATGTTTTTTCATTGTTTTTCCCCACCTGTCAGGTGAGAGTTGTTAGATGTTGTCAGTTGTCAGATTTTAGAAGAGGATCAGAGAGTCAGTAGAATAATTAGTTCTCATTTGTCTCACCAATTCATGACTCAAAACATCTCAAAACCTACGAACCCCCCCCCCGAAGCACCGAAGCGCGACGACTGAGCCAGCACGGTCCGCATCCGAGCCACCACCAAGGTCCACAGCCCATGCAAAGCAGCTGGAACAAGGCAGCCTGACGGTCGAGCTGGGGAGCCAAGAGGCTTCACTCCTGGTAGGCATACATAGGCATACTAAATATATACCCACCCAAATCCCACAAATACTACACTTGAAATAGGGGGTGGATTGTGGGTTGTTGTCTTCATTTTTGGGGGATGCTCCTCTCCTCTGTGCTTCTTTAAGATGTGTCTCAGGTGCTCCTTCTCATCTCTGTTACCACCTCTTTTCGACTGGTGAGACCGGCAGGGACTGGTCGATGTCGATATTGCTGATACGAGAACGAGAATCAAGGGGGTGGATGTTCCGCCTACATGGATGGGCTGCTCCCTCAAAATTTATTCAACCAACCAAGGCCATGTACAAGGCCATCGATGGCCCCGGGTGTTGTCCGGGTGGGGTGTTCCGGACGAGAACCCTCCGGATCGCCTGCTGGATCATCTTGGCTGCGCCGAAGATCTGCCCACTCTGTCGCTGCTGCCAGAAGCAGTAGACAGCGTCGGCCACCTGCGGCCGGGGCGCAGCGGTCAGGCGCCCCGAAAAGAGGCCGCCCCCTGTGCCGGTTGGGGTGGGACTTTTACGGTGACCGGAGATCCACGATGATCCATCATGATTCCCTGCTTTTTGGGGCAGGGTGCGATCGGCATGGACGAAGGCTTGGCATTCGTTCATGGCACGAGCAGGTCTCGCACATCCAATCAAATCCAGGTACCATAGACCAGGCGCCCTCGGTGTGGTGGTGTTTTCGGTCCATGTGAGGTCGACCGGTCAAGGGTGGTCCATTTCACCACCATGTTGGGTCGTGACTCAACCTACTCATGTCGCCCTACTCATAGACGTTTCCAGTCCAAGGGATCTCCATGGATCTCCCAACGGGATCATTGGCACATCCATCCAAATACACCCAGAGAGATTAACATGGAACCTGAGAATGGACCAGACTGGAAGACGATTTTCCTTTACACCCCAGTGCTTCTTCAGGTTGCATGTGGGTCCCTTCCAGGGCGTCCTCTTTGGTGGATCGATGAAGCTCCGCCGCGCTCAAGCGCTCGGCCGAACTCCCGCTCTCCGTCGGTCGGCGTCCACCACGTCCACCAGGTCCTCACCGATCTCCAACCTGATGTGCGATGCACGAGGACGTCTGATGTGCCTCGCTCGGATCCGCGCGCGCGAAGGGCGGCGATCGGCAGCGGGATCGGCAGCGGATGGCGAGCTCGGTGCGGGGGCGGGGCGGTTGTTGGTGCGACTCACTGAGTTTGTCCCAACAAAAAAGGTCCTCAGGTCTATATACCGGGTGTGTCTTCAATCGGATACCTGAAAACAACTTCAATTGAGGTTTTTCCTGTTCTGTGCATATTATTGTCCATTCTACGTCATTCCACAGTCCATTCTACATCATTCTACAGTACTCTTGGTCTGGTATACTGTGTCTCAAACATTCTCAAACAATACAAGATCTTGACATAAGGGCAAAAAAACAAAGTACCCTTCCGCATCCACGGCTTTCTGCACCAGACAATGACTCCAGTGGATGATGATGGATGATGATGGTTTGTAACGGCCTTTCTCAAAAAGAGTCGCTGATCTTTTCCGACTGTTGCTCTGGTAATGGCACACAGCTTACCTCTAAGAATTCATGCTACATCAACCGTACCCCCTGTTTAGCTCAACTTGTGAAAAAAAGTGATCTCCAGTGAAACACAGAGAGAGAGAGAGAGAAACAAAATCAAGAAGAAAAAGGACATCTAAAGTTAAGGTAGAGTTAAGGTAGAATGAAAAAGAGATACTGTTTGAAAAAGAGTGATCTCTCAGCTCTTGCACTCCCACCCCTCAGCTCTGTTGCTCCCTCTAAGTTCCTCGCATTCCAAACCATCCTGGACGGCACCAAAAGACAGTGTCGCTCGCCGGTGGGCAGCAGAAGCCATGTGGGTCCATCGTTACGGGAGTTTGCCAGACTTGAGATCTCCATGTTGATTTGCAGGCTGAGGAACACAAGGTGACTCATGTGACTGTGTCTAAAGAGCGTGATGTGCCGATGATATTGAAGGGGAGATGCAGGAATTTCAGAGAATTGCTTGTGTTTTTGTCCCCGTCCCCCGAAGAAAAAGCAGAACGTTTGCGAACGCACCCAAACACACTGGACCGGTTCGAGATCAAAGGACCGGTTCTTCGAGATCGGTCCGGGTGCTGGTGACTCTGCTGCTGCAAGGCTTCACTCCGTGACCTGCTGGCTTCTGGGGGACACAGGGACACAGCCTGAAGTTCCTCCTTGGAAGTCACATGAAGTCACACATAGAGAACCAATTTCTCATCAAAACTGGTTGCTCAGCCACTGTCGGTGATTGTAGGTGAGCATCAACAGTACTTGAAAAAGCCTATTTGTGATGCGTACATAGCAGTCCCTTGAAGTTCCAACATCACCCACGGGCGTCCCCGACCCCGAGAAGGACTGCTTTCTCATCCTTCTTTTTGTGTCAAGGGTTGCATGAACTTCGCCCAGCCAATTTTCCTCATGCTGCGTTCCCATGGTTGTGCTGGTTGCAGGCAACTCATGTCTCACAACATCTCACAACACTTGAAGTTCCTCTCGCTTTGCTCGAGGCATGTCACCTCCAGCATGAGAAGCACCCCAGGTCACTAAACTCCCATCCGCCAAGACGGCTGCAAAGGCATAGTGCGAGGCGTGGATGTGCTGTACATCATGGAGCTGATCTTGAAGCATCCAACTGTCTCCTCCGGCGTGCGCATCGCCCCAGGTCACAGCCCCACCATTCTTCAAGAGGGCGCAGAAGGCAAAGTGTGAAGCTTGGATCTTTTGCACATTCTTCAGCTGATCTTGGACCAAACCTCGGTGACGACTTGCGGCTCCCGGGAGACCGAACATATAATCATATAGGACCAAAACATAGGACCAAACACCCTTCTCTTCTCACCAGGGGCGCTAGGGCGGGCGCTTCACCCTGATTCACCCTGGAAACATCAACATAGGCTTCACCTAGGAACCTGGGATTTGAACAAAAAACACTTCAACATCACCCAAAACTGATCGGAAACTGGAGTTTCCAGGAAACTGCAGTCGCCCCCAAAGTCTGGATCCCCCCAGGTCACCACAGATCCATCAGATCGGATGGCTGCGAACGCACACTCGGAGGCTTGAATCTCTTGCACGTCTTTCAGCTGATCCTGGATTTCGCTGCTGTCACCTGGTGGCTATAGGCGTTTTAGTGCCGTTTGATCGTTTTTCATTTTCAAAGAGGTGGACAGAAATCAAAGGCTGGAAGTCTGGAAGGAGAAACGGAAAGATTGTGCGGAGAATCAAAAAAACAACCGATGCAAAGAATCTCATGTGGTGATTTCATGTGATTTCAATGGCTTTGTGGCAATCTGCAAACACTTCTTTCTTTCGTTTGCCCCACTCACCTCCATACTCTCGATTGCCCCATGTGACCACAGATCTATCAGCCAAGATGGCGGCAAAGGCACAGGCTGAAGACTTGATCGTTTGGACATGCTTCAGCTCATCGCGGACTCGGCTGCTGTCACCTCGACGTGTTCCGCAGACCGGAGGGCGAAGGGCTCAGAACCGAGGGACCAAGTTGAGTAGCGAACTCGCAAGCTTCCCACCCTATAGGGGTATCTTTGGAGGATCCAGTTCAAGGGTCGGAACCTGTCAAGATTGTTTAGGTTCCATGTTAACTGTTAAATCATGTTCAAACGGTTCAAAACACCTCAAAACACCTTGGGATTTGGGAAAAGAGTGGTAAAAATCACATGAAACGGGGAGACGGATCGGAACATGCATGAAAATGCACGTACAGTACGTCACAATCCCGAGCACCTCCATCCTCTGCCTTTCCCCAGGTGACCACTGATTCATCCGCCAAAACGGCTGCGAAGGCGCTGCTGGATGCTTGAATCTGCTGCACCGTTTGCAGCTGCTCTCGCACCGCGCTGCTGTCGCCTCCGCGTTCCGGGTCTCCCCATGTCACCACCGATCGATCCGATAAGACGGCTGCGAAGGCACCCGCGGACGCTCGCAGCTCGCGCACGCCGTGCAGCTGGGACCGCACGCCGCTGCTGTCGCCGCCCGCGGTGGGATTCCCCCAGGTGACCACGGAACGATCCGCGCGCAGCGCCGCGAAGGCGCGCTGCGACGCCTGGATGTGCTGCACGTTTGTCAGCTGATCTCGGACCAAGCTGCTGTCGCCACCTGCATCTGGATGACCCCAAGTGACAACGGATCCATCAGCAGTGATAGCAGCAAAGGCGCATACTGAAGCATAGATGTCTTGAACGTGTTTCAGCTGATCTTGGACACTGCTACAGTCACCTCCACATTCCGCATCACCCCATGTAACTGTGCCACCTCCACAGCACCACAATGCAAAAGCACCATATGTCGCGGCCATCTTGGGTGCTTGGATGACGGCTGTTAAGTGATCTCCATGATGAAGGTGTGCTTCTTCCAGAGTTTGTCTTCCGTCTAGAAGCTGCCCATCAGCCGAGATCATGAGCAAAAAAGGGCATCTAAAGAATTCTTTCGCAGCAGCCTTCAGCTCCCAGACTTTGCAACTGCATGACTTGGAGCAACGCATTGAGGAACCACTGGGCAAAGAGACGTTGATGGTCCACTTTGGAACCTGAAGACCGAGTGGAAAAAACGGCCCCGGCTTGGTCCCAGCCCGAAATGGATCATGACTACACGTTCCGTAGGATGATATTATGGCTCGAAAACCAACAACTGAATCCATCCCGCGGAGTCTTGTCTTTTCAGCCACATCCACTCATATTGAAATTGTGTGTGCATGGACAATTTCGGGTTTGGTCCGCAACGGTTGTAGGAACCTATTGGATGGGCTGTCCAAAACAGTTCGATCTACCAGGCTACCGTGGATTGTATCCACTCCGATTCCAATCCGCCTCTGAAAAAAACGACACGACATGTGGCATCATGTCGAAGTGACAAATGGGTACAAAATGGCCCCGGAAGGATGACTGTTTTCCTCCACAAACCGGTGATTTTCCACTTCCATGATGATTCCAGCAGTCTGAAAGTCAACTCCCACCTCGTCTCGGGGGCACCTGCCTTCACGTGTGCGTGAGCGGCTTCTCCCACTCTCCATGGCGTGGAACGTGCGTTCGCCCTGGTTCCGGCGCCCGACGCTGGGCGCCCCTGAAGCCCCGACGAAGTCGGCCGAACGGTCGGGATTTCACCATGAACCCGGGCAGCTGACAAACTTGCAGGTCAGGCCCTGAATGGGGCAACAATTATATACAAGGAACCTGGATCATGTTCCGTAGCATGAGTCTTGCTGTTGAAAAAACACGTCGTTTCTTCGCCAGTTAAACAAAAACAATGATTGGCATCCCTGCGCCACCCTGGTGTGTTTTTTAAATGTCGTTTCGTGAAGATACATTCTTTATCGGAGTTTGGTGGTCATCGCGCTTTTGTATATGTCGTGCTTGCGCTGCTTTGCACCGTTTTCGCCTTGTTCTGTGTTCGCTTCGCAAGAGGCATGTGTTTGTGTTGTTTGAAGATCTTCGTTCTGCTCACTTAGTGGACAGAACAAAAACACTGACAAACTTAAAGAAGTAAGCATATACATGCATGTCTATTTCGCTGCATTCAGGATATTCAGGGTTGTCATATTACATTCTGGTGTCACACCTCATGTTTGTTGATGTTTGTTGCACAGTCGCCCGTCCGTTTTGATCAAATGTGTGGCCATTCATTGCAGTTTCCAAGGCAGGGGCTTCATTCAAAATATCTTGGAACAACTGCAATGGCCATAAGCTTGATCATGTGTCGGAGGTGTTACGATGGCAGCGAGGTGTTGCGATGGCAGCTTGGTGCATTTCCTGCTGATCTTCTGAGCCCCAAAGCTGATCAAGGTTCTTCCGCTGAAGAAGGTGGAAGGGAAAGGGAAGCCGGCTCCAAAGCCGACAGGGAAGCTGGCCGCGAAGCTGACAGGGAAGCCGGCTGGAAAGCCGGATGCGAAGCCGGCTGGGAAGCCTGATGCGAAGCTGCCGGGGAAGCCAGCTGTGAAGCCTTCAGTGACACCTCCATGGGGTCTCAATCTGAACGTGGCTTCAGGAAGTGCTGGACCCAGAGGAGGTTGTCAAGGAGCCTTCTGGACCTTCGGAAGCTTTGTCTTCGCAAAGCGCTGCTGTCCGCTTGAGCTATCGCGAGAGATTGATGAAGAGTCTTGGCTTGGCTTTGAGAAAGGTATTTATTTTTGGATCTTTTTTGGTCATCCATATTCAGTGATTGGGACCTCAGACTTTTGCCATTTGGTGCTTTTATTGATTTTGCATTTCCATTTGAGAAGGACTATGACTATCCCAGAGTTGATTAATGTCGGGATTTGTTGGAACCACCAAGTCGGTTGCTTGATGTGGCACGTCGTGACTTGGGTCACTGATTTCTCTTTTTTGTCATGCCGACAAGCGAGGCACATGTGGACCAAGCAGAAGCCGAGGTAGATCATCAAGCTCAAAGCCAATCTCAAGGATTTCAAGACCTGGAAGCGCCCAGATAGGCTGAGGTTCATCTACTCACGTGTCTTGGCATCGATTTCAGGAGCTGCGTTTGATGGGTTTCTGCGGGTCAAGTGTCTTGTTTTGTTGCAGTATCTTCCAGTGACATGGGGGTGCAAACGGGCTCAACCTTCTTCATCAATATTGGGGTGCAAACGGGACGATACCTGCCACCTTTGCTACAAAGTGCATGAGAAAGATTGTCATGAAAACTACATCTTGAGTGGCTTGGTCCAGGCTTTCCATCAATTTTCTTTGTAGAGCGGGTTCAGTCCCACACTTTCGAGCTTGTTCGTAAAGTTTTTTTACTATTAATTGGTGTTCATGGGCAACTTAGGCAATAAGAATCGGTCATTGGAGCTTCGCAACGCGATCCTGAACAAGAGCTAAATTGCTTGAAACGACGGCTTTCGTTGAAGTGAGAGTGAACAAGTTGTATCATTGATTTCATGGTCTTTGGGTCATGATGTTCTTCTCGAAAAAAAATGCTCTGCTTGGTGCAGTGAAGTGAGAGTGGCTGATCAATCACCTTGACACTGAAGTTGGAGAAAAGACTGTGAGCGAGATTGATTTCCAGTGGGGTAGGACCCGATTGTAAAATGATAACACCTATATAATTGCCTTAGATATACAGTAGATATTAATACTACTATATACAATCATATAATATTATAATGTTTTACAAAACAGCAATCATTTGGCATACTTTGGAGGACGCCATTGAGTCTGGGAACATCGGTGTCCTCGCAACCCAAAGCCAAGCCCGAAACGAGGACCGCGCGTTTCCCGCGCACCTCGCATCGTCTTGCACTGTGGAGGCTTGCTGGCTCACCTCAACACCTTGGGTTCCAAATGGTTCGGAACAGTGCCGGTGGATGCTGGATGCTGGATGTGGCAGGTGCACATGCGACCGGCAGGCAATCTGTTTTTTTTTTCACAAGTCAAGAGGGTTTGAGGGACTGTTGCACGTGAAGATGGCAGATGCATGATGATGCATGTTGTTGGTTGGGTGCTGAAAGCTACCCCAGACACTGGGGGTCCAGTTTGTGGTTCCACATGGTAAGTCTGGACGAACTCCTGCCGGTGTCATGCGGGCTCATCAAGGCGTGACTCTCCTGTTCAAGGGAAGAACTCCTGCCAAAAGAAACCAATTTGGCTGTGGGTCAAAACCGGGGTACCTTGGTTGACCAGAGAACAAGAACCGAATGGACTACAAATCAAACGAGGTCAACGGTCAACCTAATTATATATACCCTGATTGGGGGATCCGGGCTTTGACCCATCCCCCAAACCAAAAACATCTCCGACAAGGCAAGTGCCTTTGGGAGGGTGTCTTTTGGCTTCGCCATGGGGCGTCAGAGGAGTCTTTCTCCGGCCCCGGTTCTCTCCGCGCCGCGCCCCGGAGCGGCTCCCGGCAGTAGGGAAACTGTGCGAGGAGAGGCGGGTCTTCCTCCACGCTGAATGAGACAGGATTGAGCGTTTTGGGGGATATCTCCAAAACTGGGGGGACAAGATATCTTGTCTTTGAATGTTAGAGGCTGATAGAGGAGAACATGCTTGATATGGGCCAATAGGGCCCTCACATCGACAACTGATCGACCTACACCAAACTCTCAAAGAACGGCCGTAGTCTACGGACCATGTACGTCGGACAGCCGGGTCCGGACCCTTCTCTTTAAGAAGCACATGGACTCGAGAGTCCTGGGTTGTAGAGGCCAACTGTTTGGAAACACGGTCATTTTCAGGGTCCAGGTCCAAGTCTGGGATGTAATTCTGGACAAGTCTGACGTCTTCACCGTTTTCACGCACCCATATCTGTCATAGGTCTGTATCTGTCTCTGACAACACTGGCACCGGTCAAAAAATGAATTGCCCTCATCCTTAAAAAATCTCCGTCAGTACAAACCCAATGGCCGTTTTGAGTACTTGTAATATCTGGCCTGTCTACCGCAATTCCTCCACCACTTGCAAGTGCCCTTTTTCCCTTGCTTTTTGCAAAGCTGTGCGGCCACTCTTGTCTAGAATATCCTTGCCAGGCAGGAACTGAACAGAATGCTTCAGACCAGGATGGAAAAAGAGCGCTGCAAGCGGCAAGTAAATGTGGACACGTGGAAGTCGTGCGCCAACTGCATCAACGGTCCCTAGTCACTTGCCCAGTGTAAAGCTCTGCAACCATTTGAGCTGCAATATCCTTATCAGCTCCTGCCTCCAGCAACTCCTGCACCGCTTCCAAGTAACCATAGCTGCTTGCGGTGAGCTGCAATATCCTTGTCAGCTCTTGCCTGCAGCAACTCTCGCACAGCTTCCAAGTGTCCTTTCCCACTTGCACAGTGCAAAGCTGCGTAGCCCTTTGTAGCTGCGCCATCTTTGCGCTCCTGCCTCCAGCAGATCTTGAATCATGTCCAAGTGTGCAAAAAGACTTGCTCAGTGCAAAGCTGTGTTACCATGTTACTCTGCAAGGTCCATTGTCGCCTCCTGCCTGGAAGGACCACTTTCGGACCACATTCCGGAAGGCAGTCCTACCATCTGCTGCATCCTTGTCAGCTCGGGCTTCTGATTCTGGATCTGGCAGGTTGAGATCATGTGGAGCATCGCCTCAACTTGGGCCAGCAAGCACCGTAGCCCACCACGGCAGGCGGATTGACGCATGTTTGGCGGATGAGAGCTCAGCATCTTGAAAGTCCAAGACCACCAGCTGGAAGTCTGAGTCCTCTCAAAGAAGCATCTTTTGCACACTCTCTGGTTGTTGGCTTTCACGCGAATGCTCAATGTGAACCGGCAATGCCATAACAAAGCAGGCTTTACTCTCACCATTGCCAAAGCTTGCGCATCAAACGCGACAGGAGCAAAGGGCATCGCTACTAGGAGCAACAGACGCTACTAGGAGCAAAGGGTGATTCACCTCCATGGCGGTCGCAGCTCATGGCGTCGCATTTTGGACATGAGTGACGAGGCTGGAGACGTGACGGGCTTTCAAGTACTTTCTACCAATGGCCAAGTCATTGACTCCGCCATTGATAGAAAATACTTGAAGCTTCAAGCACTTCTCCCACCTTGTCACTGCAGTCACTGCCCCTATTAGGCTCCTTGTGAAAGAGCCGCTGCCGACCTGGGAGTTCTTTCAGCAGTGCCAAGTGCTCTTTATCTTTCAGTGCCCTTCCTGGTTTGTCACTTTGGACTGATTACTGGATCCAATTCATCTGGCTGAACGCAACTACCGCTCCGATGCAAATGGAAGCAGCATCCTGAGGTGTTTTTTTAAAAGCTTTCTGAGCCCAAGGTCCAGGAGAAGGAAACAAATATGCATAGTCAAATTGGGTCATGGAACTCTGGGACCCTAGTTAAACTTCCAGCTAAGCTGCTGTTCTTTTGAGGTGCCCGATATTTTCTGATCTCGCCGATCTTGCAACCCACTCTCATTGAAGATCAAATTATGAACATCCAAATAGGGTGCCCAAAGCCAGATGATCGAGTTGGTACATTGCAGTCAGTCAATGTACATGCGACTATGGCTTTGCAGGTGTTGACTCCGACACTTTTGTTGAAACACTAAGAGTTCAAGCAAACGTGGCATACGCTGACGCTGGGCGAACTTTGCCGTACATCCTTAGCAAAGCGTCCAAGGAATGTGGTTATACCAGATATATGAGCTCCGTCGGTGGATTCAGCCCACCTGTAAAATGATCGAGTGGTATAGATCATCCCGAGCAACGGTTGAAAGCATGATTTGACCTTGGGTGTATCAGTCAGGCGTATATAGTATATTATATATGATTATATATATATATATTCCCAGGACCCTGAGTGGACTATGGTTGGGTTATGTTAGGTTGCACGCCAAACAAACCTCAAAACGAGTGATAATCGTTCGTCGATTGTTACTGGTAGTGGGACATGCCCTACCTATCCTACCTCTAAGTCATATTACAATGTGTCAACTGTAAACCCGCTGTTTGTGCACCCAGCTGCTCTTGTCACTTGGTTGCTGGTGGGAAAGACCCGAAATGTGGCGCCGCACCGCTAGTCTCAGTCCATGTCACCTGACAAAACAGTTTTCAGAAAGAACAAACATATAGTGAAACAACATCTTCATCCGTAGAGTCAGTGTCTTGCAGCTCTCCTGCTCCAGTTGGTCCAAGGCGAGCTCTGCGCGGGACCAAAGCTGATCTCCTTGGGCGGGAGACCCGACGAAGGGAGACCGGTCTCGCCCCAAACCGCGGAAGACAGAAGACAAAGGTCTCGACCCAAACGGTGGAAGGAAACCTTTTTTTGGGGCGGTGCATGCAAAAAAGGCAGGTATCATGGAAAGCCAGGTTGATGGAAAAGCTCTAAAGCTCTCATGGTCGACAATGGCGAAGTTGCGTCAAAGCAGCGTAAAAACAGCTAGCACTGGAAACACATCTTACATATCATCCAAAAACCTCCTTTCGCAACCATTTTTGCATGGTGTCTTTCCAAACAGCTTTCTCGAAGCTTTCGTGACTTAGTGAGGTCCGTGTCACACTCCAACAGCATCCAACAGCTTTCAGTCGGTGGGATGAAACAACAAGGAAGATCGGATGGGTTTACTGACTCTGAATGCTGGCAATACAATCACAGGCGGGTGTTGGTGCCAGTGGGTGACATACACCGTCGTACAACATCTGGAGCCTCCCCAAACCCGCAAGCAGACCTGTCTGGAACCGATGGTCCACCCACAGCGGCCCAAGGGTGATGGGAGACGTCGAACGAACCCACCAGAGGGGGTTGAAAGGGGGGGTCGGTCTCAGGGCGCGTGTCAGCGACGCAGGAGCGATCTGGTCGTTCCAGGTCCCTCTGGAGCGACTCTTTGGACGTGTGGAGCGACTGAGCGACTGTTCGCTTCTCCCGGATTCTCCTTGGTCGGTCTCGGCGCCTGCATGGTTGTCCTTTGGTTTTCTTTTCACACACTTCTGGACTTCTGGTACCTTCTGGAAAAAAAACTTTTGACGCCATGCTGAGCACAAAGACTGCAGCATCTGCAGGCTGCGATAACGTCAAGTCTCGAAGGTCTTGATTCGCATCAAATTGAGTGTCCGCGGGGCACAAGCCTTGCCGTTCGGATCAAAGTGGTCCATGTCAGTTGGCTGCTACATGCTGCTACAAAACTTTTGTTGTGCTATAAACATACAGTGACATCATACATATTGGGAAGGCGCTCATATGCAAGAATCGTGTTGCTTCAGGTGTATTTGTTGCTGTAGCCAACCAATTCAATGACACTTTGCCAACACATTGCTGGACTCCAGACTTCGCCAAACCTGGATGGATTGGCAATCAAGATCCTACTTCGATTATACGTCGAAGAAATCCGCAAAGCTGCAAACGCGTTCCTTTTTTTGGGGGGGGAAGGACTACACACCAAAACAAACACCTCACATGGAAGTGGAAGGCCTGGAAGGAAGACTTCGCACTTCCATGTGATGTGTTCGTCGGACTAGAGATCAGACATACTGGGCCGTTGTTATGAGGAGATCGGGGATCCTTCCATCAACCCTGTATGAAGGGAACGCACTTCACGAATCTTCATGACTTTACCAGGTTTGCCAACTCTATCCAACTCTGTCTTCCTCTCTGCCGGTCTTGGCGACTCTGGTCTGTCGTTTCTCAGTCTGGATGTTCCAAAAGCGCTTCCACAAGGAGTCTCTCATCGCCGTTTCATGTGGGTCAACAATTCGATCGCCCTGCTTCACATCTGGGATGAATAGGAAGAGCGCCACAACGAAGAGTGGCACAACGGTGATCATCGGAAGCACTGATGCCAAAAGGGAGGCCTTCCACAGGTTTTGGAACTGAATCACCCTCACCGGGCAAGCCATTGGGATTCATGGAAAGCAACTCCAAAAGCAAGGCACTGGACCTTCCAAGACCTTCTTGGCGATGCTCTGTCTTAGTCAGGTGCTTCCCTTCAGACCTGTCTCTGTTGCCGTGTCAAGCGCAGCACCGATCTTCGGAGGCCGAGTGTAGAATCACCGCGTGACTCGTGTAGAAAGCATCCGAAGAGCAACGAGTGGAGCAAAACGAGTCATTGGATTTCATGGAACGATTCTGCCGGGATTCGATTCTGTCTCCATCGGATTCAGAAACGGGCAGCCTTGCGGACGATGTTTCAGCATATTGAAGCTGCAAACCCTGCAACATGATCAAGAACACAAAAGACACATTCTATGACTTTATGAGTTTATGACTCTACCAAAACCCAACTCAAGTATTCACAGGGGTCCCAACAGCCCTCCGAGGAGGGTTTGCTAGGGCTGTTGATCTAGTTTTTGGGTCATTAGCATGTATCTCCTTTTCAACGCCTTCGGACGCCGGCTTCCGGGTTTCGTCAGAACGAACGAACTTCAACCAACCGAACCAAACAGCCTAGATCCGCCTACCAGGAGTCACATGTCGGGGTGCCTATTGGAGGACAGGGGGTGCCCATTCTCTAGGGACTAAAAGCCACCCCTTTATGACTGACTCCTGGTAGCCGGATTTGAGTGGGAGCGCCCGAAAATCCCGCACTCAGAAGGTCACCAGCGGAGCCTCCCATCCCGCCGATCGAGCCTTCGCCCGCAAAGGGACACGAGGCGTCGCTGCAACACACGTCGCACGCCACGCGGCTTTCGGTGCGGCTTTCGCGCAGGCGGGAGCGCCAGGTGCCTTGAAGGGCGGAGGGGCACGGCGTGTGGAGTGGTAGTAGTTCGGTCAAGCGAAATGAGTGCCAAGATACCCCACCACCTCACGTGTAACAGGCTTCAGGTCAGAGAGATAGAGAGGTCAAAGCACAAATGGAGGCTGTTGGCAACCCAAGGTTCATGAAGTAACAACTGTCTTGTGCGATGCGAACTAGGACTACGCATTCATGCTTCTGGGGTGCCTTGGTTTTAGATGTGATAAGACACATACATACAAATTTAAACTCAATTGGGTCTGAAGCAACCAGTGGCGGGTAGTAGAAACTCAAGACTAGAAATCATTCACCTTGGAAAACTAACCTACTGGTGGCTTTCCTGGAGGTTGGTTCTTTTAAAATAATCATACAACGCATTGGCCGTGGTACCACGTCTCCTTGAACCATCATCCCTGGCTGAGCTCTCTTACCTTTCTTCTGCCTCTAGGTGTAGCTCCTCATAAAAATGAGGAACCATCCAAATCCATTGACCAAAACGAAAACATACTCAAACTGATGGGGACCCGATCGGGATCCCAATAGTGTCCCGAATGGTCCGCTTCACAAATTCTTGTTGAGCAACGTCCACCTGCTTGTGTAATTAGAATGGGGGAGAACCTCCAACCACTGGCTTTCAGCAGAAGTGAAGCTGGATGTTGCTCTTTTCTCTTATCATCTCTTATCCTTCTACCACCTTCTACCTCGAAAAAACACGGGCTGCCTGATGTTGCCTGATGTTTGTCATCTTCCACACCTCCTTCTTGTCCCGTCCTCAGGCTGCGGGTCTCGGCACCGAGCACCACCTCCTCCGCCCGCCGCAGCAGCTCCCACAGCTCGGACGGGGAAGACGGAGACGTCGCCAGGGCGGCACGGAGCAGGAAGTGCCTGGCCAGGGGATGGCCGTTTCAAAGGGTTTAGGGAGCACCGTCAAGGTTTGGGGGAGCTGGATCTGTTGGGGGTTCACTCAAACTCACAGTGCTAACCAACTTGGGGGAACAATCGGATGCTACTCTTAACTTAATGTATATAAATTCATAGGAACACAGCAACCCACATATATATTGTTTAATAACATATTTAAATGTATACTGTATACAGCACACTGTTTGCGCATGTTACGCGCAAAGTTTCTGACTTCCTCTTCCAGCAAATCGCGACAGGTCTCTGTACGTGGTCACCTTTTCCATTTCCTTGTTGCTACCGGGGAACTGCCTGACCTCCACTTTGCAGCAACCAATTACAATGATGGTGGTATTGATTGCCTGTCCCCCAAACCAAGTGCTACAGTAAATATGATCAATGTATCTTCACCAAACGTCTCCCTTCACCATCTCACTGTAACACTGTACCATCTCCACATCTAATTGTTCTGCACCCCCAGGCGCCGTAGGAAGCGCGGAACCAAGGCGAGCAGTTGCTCCTCGTCCTCCAAACCATGCAGCTCATCCTGACTTCAACGCTGTTACGACCGCATCGCACGTTCTCCGAGATTTGGGATTCAACCCGAAACGTTCGCGGAGAACGACTGCGGTGACGTGTCGAGGACAACAGGTTGGAGGGATCCTCGGTCAACCAACAATCCATTGACATGCATGCTACGGATTGACCAGGACCTGGTGGTGGTATTTGGCAGGCACAGTCCGTTTACAAACACGATTGAATTAGTGGGGAGGGGCCTTCCATGCTTGACTTCTTGAGTGTTGCCATTACACAATGTTAGTTACGCATGGACCATGTACAGGCATGATAGAACCAAGTCCTTCCCAAAACAATGAAATCAGCAAAATCCAGGGATTCCATTGGTAGACGCAGGCCTTTGATGAGCTAATAATATAGCACAAGAGGCCTCAGGAATTCCATTGCATTTGGAAAAATCATGCCTCTGTTGGACTAACGCAGGCGAATTCCTCCACGCCTGCGTAAAATCCTGCGTGAACTCTGATGGAAAACCATCCGGTCTTGTCGAGCGGTTGTACCCTAGGATTCCTGGTCTGGGAATTTCTATATATGTGTTGCATTTGTAATTACTTCAAGACCACGAAGGAAAAAGGCTGCACGTGCTAAAATCAGCCTCACTTGGTCAACCATCAACTCAGCTTCACATAGAATCGGCCTCAAAAGAGCCCTCACTTTTCCCGCACGAAACGTCCCCCATATCACACGCCGCCCCTCCTGCAGCGAACCAAGTCCAAAGGCTAGCGCCATCACCCCGCAGCGCGTCGCCAGCGTCGCCTCGTTCTGCGTCGACACCGACGCCAGCGGCGGCCACGCGCCCGCGTGCATGTCCGCATGGTGGATGCCGGCGCCGCCGTAGCGGAGCCGAAGGGCATGGAGCTGTAGAGGAGGCACCTGCCAGGGAAAAGTCCGTTTCAACTGGGCTATACGTAGTATGACGCCACCCGGCGCAGATTGAATTCCAAAGCATGGTGGTGCATAGACCCCCATGATCCCCGCCTTTGTTTGCCATCTACGAAGCATCATTTGGCCATATCTATTGGATTCCATGCAAGCATTGGTTAAAGCCAACAACTCCTGGTAACACCATGTCGGGTATATTCCCGAGTGCCTATTAAAAAAGGGTCCCTATTAAAAAATGTCATGTCAGAACCCCTAAATATGCGTTTTATTCGTTTTTAAATTACCGCCCTTTCAAGCCGCTACTAAACTACCAACATTGCCGACTTTGGAGGAGTTTTAAATTAGGTTCCAACAACAACCGTAACTGCCCACCTCTGTCCGCCCTGTCTATCCACCATGACACGCCGCGTTTACACCTTTGTTATACTAATGAAGAATCACTATCCTAATAAAAGGTTTTTGTAGGGGAAAAGGAAGACCCTTCGATCTGGAGGTTTTTTGGACTCTTTGATACGAGCTTAATACAGGATTCTACATATATATATACCCTCAGCCCGAGGGGAACGCCTTTCAACCATAAGGCTTTGTTTCGATTCTCTTCAAATCCTGATTTTCAAAGTACGGCCTTGTGTTCAAAGTACGGCCTTTTGGTTTTGAGTGGAAAATACAAAACACACAGTCGCACAACAAACCCATCACAACCTGCCCCTTTTCCCTTTGTGACACAGCTCTGAGCACATGTCCGCGGATCATACTTCCAGCAATCTTTCACATCATCCACTGGTATCTATATTTAAAGTAATCATAAATTATCATTGTGGTGTTTTTTCATCACAGGTCTGGGTATGAATCCATTGCCCGCTGGTCTTTGCCAGCTTTCCTCATTGGATCTATCACCTTGATCATGCTTCTCCAAATCAAGGTTCGGTGAACCTGTCGCACATTGCAATCACGTGACACCTTAGAAGGCTTTCCTATGAAATCCTCATTCTGCTGGCATGCTGTTGCCAGCGGAGACAGTTGCCATTGACAAGTGGCAGCATTACGATCTAGCGCCACAGCCGTGTGACAAACCATGTGCAACTTGGGGTAAATAGGGTACCTTCGTTTTCCCCTTTCCAAAGTCAATTTGGCCAACAGCGCATAGTGCGCTAGGAAACAAAACAGCCATTTCGCAACCCTCCGGGCTTCCAAATCTCTCAGCCACAGTCCACTTTCATACAAGTGGGTCACCGCAACGTTGATGGCCTTTGATGCAGCAGCCTAGGCAGCTCAGACAGGTTGTTCTAAGAAACCTAACCTGGAAGTTCCTGAACAAGCCCCATAAACTGGAAGGGTAGGAAAAACAACAAACTGCGAAACTTCAGTGCAATCTAGGAGCAATCGATTTCATGACAGGGTCATCCGAGGAGGAAAGATAGTTGGCAGCAAACCAGTCAATGAACCGCATGATTTCTACTGTGGCCATACCTTTGTTCCATTTGGCAGCAGGGACCGCTGAACTCTGCGGCCAGCACACTAAATCTCTTGTCAACTCAGAAATCCACGGCCGCCGCTTTCGGTCTGCAAAAAACCTTTGGTACATCTGTGACAACAAATCAAACTTTTTCTCAACGGATGTCAGGCCAGCAAACTCTGGCAAAGGCGGGTCAGCCTCCACAAGGCTAACAATGGCAGAGGATGCAAAGCTCTTGAGGGCCCCCAGGTGAAGATTATGGAAAAGGTCAGCTTTGAAAAAGTCTGCAGCCATCCTATCAGTAAGGTCCAGCCCCTCCAGGATTGTAGGACGTACCTCCCATGGAAGTTCCGTGAACATGGTGGATTCCCAAATTGGTGCCATCGAAACATCCTCATAAGGCACAGCAACACGGTGCGCTGCCCGATCCTCCTCTTGACCACCTAAGCATTGCCAGCACACGCCACGGGACGGTTTCCTGGAAGCCTTGGCCTTTGGTGCGTGGCCAAAGGTACGGGTGAACTTAGCAATTTTTGCCAAAGCCGGCATGTCGCCCTTGTGGGCCAGGTGGATGAAGAAAACCTTGTCAGCACCATGGTTGATACCCTGTTCCAACAAAAATTTGCAATCCTCTGCAAAGGCTGACAAGAATTTGGACAAAGCATCTGGAGTTGCCACCTTCTTCATCATACTTCCAATCAGGAAATGTGTGCCCCAGGTGTTTCCCATGTAGTTCAATCCCTGAGCATTCTGAACCAATGGTAGGCGATGCTTATTCAGAGCAACATACCGCACAGAGCCACGCCCGATCACCCCCTGAACGTTCAGAACCCACAACGGAGCATCTCGAGTTGTTCTGCCCTCATCTGAATGCGAGTAGAAGGGGATAACGGAGTCAAGAGTCACCCGACCCTCCCTTTCCAATTGGAATACTTTATGTTCACCATCCAGCGCACGGTAACGTTTCCAAAACTCTTGGAGAACACCTTTCATTTTGCAAGTAGTTGCCACTCCAACCATTTGGCGTTCTAAAAGCCCAACTTGCACAAGATAGCGCATCCAGTCTGACAGTTTCACCCATGGAAACTTCTGCAAGTGTTTGGCTTCACCCAAATCAACTGTCGAAATCTCAACCGGCACTGTCATCCCATACTTTAGCAGAACTCGACGGACACCAATCTCAGCATCGTTGTCTTTTATGTTTGAAAATTCTCTCATAGCAACACTGACATTGGGGTTGGTCTCAACCTCTTGCCTGGCCAGTAGCACAAGGTGTTTGCAGCAGGCCTTGGCAGAGCGGGCAAAGTTATGTTTTCCCAAAGGCTCGCGAACAGCAAAACTTGTGGTTTAAAGAAAAGGTCTGTGGAAAGTGGAAAGATAAAATGTTTTGCAACACTTTCAGTCAAAGCTGTCAAGTGATAGAAGGATGTTACAACACAGTAGCACCACCCAT